AAGAGCGGAGCTCAAGGGTTTAGTAGTAAGGGATTTTGCTTTTAGAGAGTTTAGCTGTAAAAGGAAGAAAGAAATGAAACAGTGGTGAGAGGAGTGAACATGAACTAGAGAGTTCTGGCTTTTGTGCAGGTGGATGGAAAACAACCTCGTGATTGAACACAGCAGGTGGGAAGGATCCACAGGAGAGCGCGCTGGTGCATGAGGGAGAGGATGGCTGGAGCGAGGTGGGGGATTGGACCTCGAGGGACGGGTTCTGGTGTCTGTGTGGAGGGTTGGCCTTAGGAGCAGAGGCAGTTCCTTCAGAGTGGCCGAAGGCAGTGTCTGAGACAGAGCCAGGGGCAAGGGGAAGGTCTCTTCTGATTGCTTCCCCTTACCCTGTGAAATGGTTCAAGGTTATCACCTAGGGACTAGGAGGGGGTTGGAGGCTGGAAGATATGAAACAAGGGCAGGACAATGAATGGGCTCTTGTGGTCACGTAAATTTAATCTAGTACAGAATCCAGCAGCTTGGTCGGAGCCATAGAGAAGGGAATGGAAATCCCGTGTTACCAAGTGAATGTTTCAGATGCCACGATCAAACTCAATTCTTTTTTCATTTATCTTCAGCTTTTGTTTTGTCCCTGCGACTTACCCAACCAGCACTGTTTATCCTCCTTATGATCTTTGTTGGAAAACTTTCCTTTCCACACTTACGAGTTAACACATTCTGGAATTATATTTTCGTATAAGGCAGATAGTAAACTTTAGCTTGTCTCATTTTATAAGATGTACGTGCTCTTCCCTCAGTGATTGATGGTTGAGCGGAGTGTAGAATTACAGGTTCACAGAAGTTTCCCTCGAAACCTTGAAGGACTTGCTCCGCTGTTTTCTAGAATCCAGAATAGCTGCTAGGAACCCTCACCCCAGGCTGATTCTTCCTCCTTTTTTTTTTGTGGTACACGGGCCTCTCACTGCTGTGGCCTCTCCCGTTGCGGAGCACAGGCTCCGGACGCGCAGGCTCAGCGGCCATGGCTCACGGGCCCAGCCGCTCCGCGGCATGTGGCATCTTCCCGGACCGGGGCACGAACCTGCGTCCCCTGCATCGGTAGGCGGACTCTCAACCCGCTGCGCCACCGGGGAGGCCCCCTGCTCCTTTTATGATGTCCTTCTCCTCAGGGTCGATGAATTGCATGCGGATGTGATCATAGGTGGGGGTCTCTTCCTGGGTCCTCCCTTATTCCATCTGAGACCCACTTGCTTCTTCCAGGGCCCTGCTCTCATTCCTCTGGTGGCTTTCCTGTGGCTTCCTGCTACTTCTGCTAGAATGCCATCGGACTTCATGTCTCCACCTTCCACATCCTTTCAACTCTCTTTTTTAAAAGATTTATTTATTATTTATTTGTTTTTGGCTGTGTCGGGTCTTAGTTGCGGCACATGGGCGGTTTGTTGCAGTGCACGGGCTTCTATCTAGTGGCGGTGGGTTTTTCTTTTCCTCTTGCTCTCTAGTTGTGGCACGCAGGCTCCAGAGTGTGTGGGCTCTGTAGTTTGCGGCACGCGGGCTCTAGTTGAGGCGCGTGAGCTCAGTAGTTGTGGCGTGCTGGCTTAGTTGTCCCACAGCATGTGCGCTCTCGGTTCCCCAACCAGGGCTCGAAAGCCCATCGCCTGCATTGGGGAGCAGCTTCTTTACTACTGGACCACCAGGGGAGTCCCTCCTTTCAACCCTTTGTCGTTTTGCTTGATGTTTTTGGAGACTGTCTTGACTTTATTCCAAATCACCAACCTGTAGTACAGCTGGGATCTTCGGTTGAATTTTTCTTGTGGCCGTCACTTTTAAATTCCTGTGCATTTTCTTTTTCTCTGGAGTCTCCCGCAGAGGTGGTGGCAGCTTGGTAGTAAGCGTAAGCTATGAAAATAGAGACATGGATGACTTTGGGAGTCAACAAGACTTACCGGAGGGTTGGATTTGGGGGTGAGAGAAAGGGAGGGATCAAATTTATCTTTTGTAGCTCACAACTATATGAGGCTTATTAATTTAGAACCGGAGAAAAAGAAGTGTGTTTGTTTTCATCTTTTCTTAAAGTTTACATTGTTACTTTCAGATTCCAACTTTCCAGATTAACCCTGAGTATTTCGCCTTGAAATCTGTCGGCATTAGAAGAGAGAGAAAAAAAAACGGCCTTCGTTTAACTGAGAGTGCCTTTTCAGTCATGGAAGAGTTAGTCAGCATTTCTCGTGGTGAGTAACACATACCGATACAGTCTAGCGTTTATCCACCAAAGCCTCAGAGGGTTACTGTTGATGATTAGCGTCCTAAAGAAGATGGCTAATTTTAGGGGTCAATGTTTGTTTCACCTCCAGAAGAAGCAGACGGCTGCCCTGTCATTCTGGTTTGTGGCTCTCAGGACATTGGAAAGTCAACATTTATTAGATACCTGATTAACCAGTTGTTAAATAGGTAAGAGTATTTTTGACATATTGCTAGATTTTTGGCAGGAAGTAGGATTTTTGATTTGACAAACTAGATGGGAATGCATCCTGACTTCTAAGTAGAGATTATATACAACCCTGCAAAGCCACTCAGCTGAGTGAGGCCGTCTGGTTATACCAGGTTTGGGGGTGAAGTGATGGCGCTCTCAGGTATACCCATCTTCCCTGTCGGTGAGCTCGTGAGAGTTGTCACTGGTCTCTGAAAATGTATTTGTCCAAATCCAGAGAGTCAGGGTAGGGATAAATTCTGTTGTATTTTAAAAATAAAATGTTAAGAAAGGCAAAGTTTTATCCATATGATGAGTGGATACTGTGGCCTTGCCTGCATCCCATTTTCTCTTTACCGTCCTTCTGTGTTGGTTGTCATCTTTGGAGCATTCTGCCTATGAGGCTGCATGGGGTGGATTATGTCCGTGCATCACATAAAATCTTTACAATCTGATTTACCCTTTGGGCACAGTAAAACTCGTTATTTTTCTTTCTTTCTTTTAAATTTTCAGTATATCCTGCATTGACTATTTGGAATGTGATCTGGGACAGACAGAATTTACTCCACCAGGTTGCATTTCTCTACTTAATGTTACAGAACCAGTTCTAGGTATGTATTATATACTTCTTAAATGTCTTGGTTTTATACAGTGCAAAAGTAATGATACAGGAAGTTCAAAGAGGGATTCCCTGGTGGCGCAGTGGGTAAGAATCCGCCTGCCAATACAGGCGACACGGGTTCGAGCCACATACCGCGGAGCCTGTGCACCACAACTACTGAGCCTGAGCTCTAGAGCCCATGAGCCACAACTGTTGAAGCCCGTGCACCTAGAGCCCGTGCTCCGCAACAAGAGAAGCCACCACAGTGAGAAGCCTGTGCACCGCAACGAAGAGTAGCCCCCGCTTGTGGCAACTGGAGAAAGCCCACGTGCAGCAACGAAGACCCAACACGGCCAAGCAGCCAAGGATAAAAAAAAAAAAAAAAAAAAAAAAAAAAAAAAGTATTGTTTAAAAAAAAAAATTCAAAGAATACAAAAGTATAAAATATAAAAAAAGAACATTCTCCCCCACTCCCAAACTCATGGTCTTCCCATAACTATTCCTCTAGCCTCAAAAAAAGAAAAACAAAAACCCAATAAGACCTTTTAGGGTTCCATTTTAGTAAATGGAACTCCCATCCATTTTAATTTATGTAAATTGGAAACACTTTTCAGTAATATTAACATCTTATATAACCCTATACAATGATCTAAATCAAGAAATTGACATTGGGGCTTCCCTGGTGGCACAGTGGTTGAGAGTCCGCCTGCCGATGCAGGGGATGCGGGTTCGTGCCCTGGTCTGGGAGGATCCCACATGCCGCGGAGCAGCTGGGCCTGTGAGCCATGGCCGCTGAGCCTGCGCGTCCGGAGCCTGTGCTCTGCAATGGGAGAGGCTGCAGCGGTGAGAGGCCTGCGTACCGCAAAAAAAAAGAAAAGAAATTGATATAATGCTACTAACTAATCTATAGATCTTTTTTCAGAATTCATCAGTTATCCTACTAACATCCTTTTTATGTTTCAGAATCCAAATCAGAGTCCCACATTGCCTTTTTTTTTTTTTTTTTGGCATTGCCTTGAGGCTTTGCAAGATCTCAGTTCCCCATCCAGGGACTGAACTCTGGCCACGGCAGTGAAAGCCTGGAATCCTAACCACTAGGCCACCAGGGAACTCCCACACTGCTTTTTCTTAATACAAAAATATACGTAATATGAGATTTATCATTTTAACTGTTCATGTGTACAGTTCAGTGGCATTAAATACATTCATAGTGTTGTGTAACCACCACCACTACCTACCTCCAAAACTTTTTCACTGTCTCACACTGAAATGCTACACCTGTTAACCAATAATCCATTCCCCACCCCAGTCCCCCACAGCCCTTAGGTACCGCTAGCCTACTTTCGGTTCCTATGAATTTGCCTAATTTAGGCACCACATATAAGTGGAATCATGCAATATTTGTCTTTCTGTGTCAGGCTATTTTCACTAAGCATAAAGGTTTTAAGGTCTGTTCATATTGTAGCATATGTCAAAAGTAATTCCTCTTTATGGCTGAAAATGATTCCATTATGTCACATTTTGTTTATCCTTTTAACTGTTGATGGACACTTGGATTGTTTTCATTTTCTGCCTGTTGTGATCTTGAACAAAGTAGTTGTGGCATGTAGGCTGTGGAGCGTGGGGGCTTAGTTGCCCCACGGCATGTGGGATCTTAGTTCTCCAGCCAGGTATGGAACCCATGTCCCCTGCGTTGGAAGGTGGAGTCTTAACTACTGGACCACCAGGGAAGTCCCAATTTTTGTTATTTTAATTATGACCTTTCTTGTGGATGTGAAGTGATATCTCTTTTTGGTCTTGATTTGCATTTCCCTAATGACTAATGGAGTTGAGCATCTTTTCATGTGCTTATTGGCCATTTGTACATCTGCTTTGGAGAAATGTCTAGTTTAGTCCTTTGCCCATCTTTTTAATTAATTAGTTAATTTGTTTATTTTTGGCTGTGTTGGGTCTTCGTTGCTGCATGTGGGCTTTCTCTAGTTGCGGCGGCG